TAAGTCACCAAAATTCAAGTGTCTAAGTGAATCAGAGCCTATCAGAGGGGTGGTGGCTCTCTATTAAACAGCAAACCCTCTACCTTGAGCAGTCTCTGCTCCAGCTACCATAGTCACATGATAGCGATTGCTGGTCACAAACACCTGTCCAATTTATCAACAATGAAAACCAGGTCACTAAGAATCACTTAACTTCTATAGTAACATTCTTTGAAATCAACTAATTAGCACAAGAAAACTAAGATTAATTTCTCCTGAGTAAGTTCAACATACTCTGATGAAAATGACATTTTTGTTGAATGTAATTTATGCTGGCATCCACAAAATCAAAACCACCCAATTCATTAAGTGCAAGATGTACCAAATACAGGTAAAGCTGTAGGATGCTCCCATCAAAGTTGCTCCCTTCCATTCAGCCAGGAAGCAGCCAGGTTATGGCTGTCATTTGTGAGCAGAGGTCTGACACAGGCTTGAGTTTTACACTGAGGCCTAACCAATGCATTCATATGCCACTTACAGTGACTAAGACAAGCAACTGATGTTTGACAAAGGAATGAGCACGTGGGCCTTTTGCATAGTAACAGAAGAGTCTAGAATTCTGTTTCCAAAGTCTGTTATTTCCAAGGGCTAAACTCCTAAATCATCAAAGGAAATAGAATCCAATAGCTTAAGGTGGTGTTTCCCAAAACATGGGATATAGTTCACCCTAACATTATTAACATTAATCATAAGTAAAACAAATGCACGCTCAAAACCTCTTTCAATTCTGTAGATAAGCCATACCATATATGGATAACACTTGCCATTACACTAGCCATACAGGCTCCTTTTAAACAAAAGGGACAGGTCTCAGGTTCATAGCCAACACTGGCAAGACCATCCACAAAGAATTACAAATTCTTTACCTTATACTGTCATCCTTTATGATAATCAACACTATAGCCTTTTCTATGTTTCCCTTAAGAGTTTTCTTTGTAAGTGATTTATACAAATAAAAACTGATTAAAGAAAAGTAGTAAGTAAAACTAAGTCAATAAATTTCATCATCTCCAACCTGATTAATATTGGGAATGAATGGCTCAGTCTCAAGTCACTATCATGTCCAGGCTCAGAGAGTCAAACTGACCCAAAAGGTTAATGCGTGGATCAGCCTAACCAATTTAAGGCAAAATGCTCCAAGGGCTGACAGTTGATCAGGGTTTCAATTACTTATAGAAATTCTAAATACGATACCTGTCCAGGATGAATTAATATCTCTCATTGATTTCTGTTACATAAGATCAGTCCACTGTGTACAAAGGTGGTAGTGGTGGAGGTGTAGGTGAGCCAAGGCCCTCTCCCTAAAAACAAATGTAAGCAGCAGAGCACAACGCAGTGGGGACTAGCCGGAGACTCTGTGGAATCAGTAGGAGGGAGGCATGCAATCTAGCAGGCAGGCTACAAGCCCTCCTTAGTTACATTCTCTCTCTACTTATACACATCCACACACAATGTGGGAAGACCACAGTTTATCCAGTAACAGTAAATGGCCAACAGATCAGTAACACATTAAGATTCTCACTTCCAAAAAACAGCACTGTTGGTTTTAGAGAAAGTTGCCATCTTAGTCCTTGTTTATGTTTACAGTTTCAGCAGCAATTAGTGTGACACTACCAGCCACTATACCACGACTTCAAAACAGACTTTTACAACAGGGCCTCCTTGCTCTGCACCAATGTTAGTGTTAACAAGTCTGAGTAAATGTGCACTAGCGCCTGGGCCAGCCCCTGTGAGCTCCTATGACAATTCTAGAGTGGACAGTACCTCTGAAAGCAGGGAGTGATGGCCAATTTGCAAGTCAGGAGGAGCCAAGGCAGCTTTCCACTGCCAGTTCCTGGGTTCTACTCCTGGAGACTCCGTGTGGTATGTTTGGAGTGGGTTTGGGGAAGTAGAAGACAGCTCCCTTGATTCAGATGCAGAACAGGCGTTTTGAATGCACTGACTCAAATTACATTTTTAAAATCTGCTATTAACCATAAGAAACATCTTGTGCTTAAAAATATTAAGTAACTAACTGAACATAAACACGGGGAATGCCGGAATATTTCAAAACATGACAGTACCATCAAGAAAATATACATTACTATGACTGTACATTTTCAAGAAAGAAAACAGGTTATACCATGAGAACAGTCAGAATATAGAGCCTGGGAACACTACAGTGACACTGTAGCCGTCACCATCACTAGTCAGGTATTTCCCCTAAAGGCAGTTTGCTAGCAAAAATCAAATGGCCACTTCTCTAAGCACCAATGGGTTGCTCACCAGTTTCCTCAACACCCATATCACCGATCTAAGTAACTTATGAGCTACACTGTGGTGTCTTTCCCTGTCCTGGCTGATGTAAAAATGTAAAAATCCTATAAGATTTTACAGCAACTGCCTATTGGTTCCTAAAAGTCACAGGACAATACCAGTCAACACAGGAACTCACAAAAATTACTAACATGTTTTTATCAAAAGCTACACTCACTCCACTGGCAGGTGTGGGATTTTTAAAGACAAGTTCTGCCTCCCAATGCTGGAATCTACAGGAATCCAAAGTTCTCAAACACAGTCAAGGAGCAGTAAACTAAGAAAGGAAAAGACTCATTCATCACAACTGAAAGTGAGAGGAGGTGGGAGAGCACAGCAATGCTCATGCCGAAGCGGCTTCCCTACAGCCAGGGCAAAATCAGATGCTTTCAGTGACTTCTCTGACCACGGCCATGTGAACAGTGAATTCTGTATTCTGACCATTTTCCAGGCCCGCTCCTGATGCTGAGTGAGAGCAGCAGCCCACAGCTCCCAGGCAGCCACAGCCTCACGGGAAAGCACACTTGGTGACAGGAGTGATCAACTAGGTTTGCTAGGTTAGAAGGATTAAAATATATCTCAGACATCCAGTATTCTCAACTTGCAGTGGCTTGTTCTACATTAGTTATGCGCATCTGAACTGCAATAAACAAATGACAATGGCTACTTGGCAAGATTCTGGTTTTTAAAAATGTTTTTCATATTTACTATCTATAAAAAATAGAATAGTAAGAGAATGCAAGAATTGTCCTCCTGGAATTTCATCAAAAAGGAAGGAAAAAAGGGATAAGGGAAGATTGGTTTCCAAAAATAGTTTTCCTCTCACAACTCCTGCACACAAAAGGGACAGGACAGCACCGAGAGTGGCTCTCCTTGGCGCCGGACACCCTGGGATACCTCCCACCCAGGCGAAAACCGCGCACCCTCCTCTACTTCACCAGGCCTGGATGCCTGCCTGTGCTGACCTGTCTGGGACGCCAATGACACTCTCTTCTGCTGCTGACTCGGAGGCCTCCAGGACACTCTCTTCTAACCTGTAATATTTCCCTTGCCACTAGAGGGACCTCCACCTCATGCTCAGGATCTTTGTTGTCACTCTGCACTGGGGACTGACACAGAGGCAGACACAGGAAGATTAGAAGAGTGGTTTTAAAACTACATCTGTGCTGCTTCCTTGGTGTCCTAGGTGACAGCGGCCCATATCGATCCTGCATCCCTAGACAGGGAACCAAGATTGTGTAGTGTGAGGTCATCGCTAGGTAAAGCAGTCCTACAAGATGACCAAGATTATACTTTTAAACTTAAAACAGTTCTACAGGAAGCAGCATGTTTATAGTTTCTCTAGTGTTTCCTTCTAATCTAGTCTACCCATCAGTTCCCACAGGGAAGCATCATTAAATCATATTCTGGCTCTGAGTATCGACGACAGGTTTCCACTCAGCAAAGGCCTGTGAGTTACTCCCAGCCTACTCTTGTACAGGGCTCATCCACAAATGGGTACAACATACAACAGTACTGGCCAATGAGAACAGTCTAGCACATTCCAGACAGCCTGGATGTTCTTAGCTCAGAGCTTACTCAAGTCACTCTGAAACCAGCCTGGACCCACCAAATATGGTCGTTCAGTACATAAGCTGTGCAGCTGTCTGTGGGAGCCTTGTCTAGTCTCATCCAAACACTTCCAATTTCAGGGGGTTAAAGGTCATTACAAACTACCTTCTGCACTTTCTAAAACAGGCTTATGTATAGCAAATTTAAACACATAAAAATTAAAACCTTTAGGCAGACAGCAAATGATTTTACTTTTCAAATCCTCTTTTGAAGGCTTTTTCTCTAAGAAGATTCACAGTTACCACACTGGTGGCCAAAGTGAGCCTCCTTATTCTTAAGGCCTCTGGCTGTTTTAAACTCTAGACATAGACCTTCTTGTGTTTGGAGCTGGACCTTTGTTCACTCTGCTAACCCCCAATCCCTGCCCTCCAGATTTGCTAAGCACTGCTGGTGGCTTTACACATGCCTTCCACAGTCCTAGCAGGAGCACTGAGGTTGCCACTTCTCCTGTCCTGCAAAAAGCAAACTAAGGCTGGGTCACTTGCTCAAGGCAAAGAAAGAAGCTGTTGTTCTTACAGGTTTAAATGTAGGTCCAATCTAGTCCCTGCTTCAAAGGTCTGAAAACAAATACTGGGCAACTGACTTTCTTTTCCAATGTCAGACTTCTGTGTGGTGGCACACACCTTTAATCCTAGCACTTGGTAGGCAGAGGCAGGAGGATTTCTGTGAGTTCAAGGCCAGCCTGGTCTACAAAACAAGTTCCAGAAGAGCCAGGGCTACATCTGTCTGAAAAAAGCCAAAAATCAAACCAACCAACCAACCAAACAAACAAAAACATCTAAACATCTACTAAATTCACAACCAAGGACTCAAGAAAGAAAGAAACCTATAATAATATTAATGTAAAGTTTTAAGAGATACTCTTGCCTCAGATTTCAGGAAATGCCAGAAAATGCAGATCAGAAAATAAAAATATAAAATCCAGAAAACACAACACAATAGCTTTTAGCTCTTCCTATGAACTGGAATGCCTACTTCCTTTCCTTTAAGTGGCCTTCAGTAATGCCTGCAGCTTTACCTTTCCCTCCTCATAATTTTCATGATTCAGCACTTACCATAATGAGATTGAAATGCCTGTGGTTTGACAACTTGGTTGCAGTCGTTACACACCACCAAGTAGAAATCATCATGTGCCGGACAGAGACCAAATATTGGCATATCTGCAACAAAGAGACAGTCATCACTTATCTGTTATGACTAAGATGAGAGCATTGAGCACTGACAGTAAACAGCACACGGACCACTCAGGAGCCTATCACCACTGACAAAGAAATCTAACCAGGCTGAGGCCTTTACAAAGGGCTGAAATAAATGAATGCATCAAATTATTAGAAGGTGTGGAAGTGCTATTAAAATGAACACAATGAATACATTAACACAATAAAACGATTGAAGGTGAACTCTTACATGACTGAGGAACAATATGAAAGAATATGAAAAATATGAAAAAAACATGAAATGTGCTTAGTAATTCACAAAGCTGTAACAATATTTTTATTTGCTTAAATATGGGTTCTATTCCAGTAGTTGGTCCCAAGTCCTACCGTCCAGATAAGAAAAGTACAGAGACATCACCAGAGAGTAATTTCATCTGCTTCTCAACCATGCCATACAAAGACATTTGTTTTCCACTTGTTTTGGGGCCCAATCACTCTTACATCCTGATTCCACCTTACCGACTTTGGGTACAAACCCAGAAGCTCAGACACTAATTGTAGTCTGATTTCCAGAATAGGGCAGGAGACAAGTTTTATTTTGTTTGTAAACGGTGAAAACAAAACTATGTGTATATACATGAAAATGCAAAGTAATTTCATTTCTAGTATGTTAAACATAAAAATGTCCAACCATTAGATACTGTTAATAATAATCTAGGAAACAAACCAAAGTTTAGACCCAGAATCTAAACTTTTAAAACTCCAAGATAATCAATTTTGAGCAAATATTTCAATGAGTGGATAGATAACACATTTTAACTTGACAAATATTTTATCAGATCAAACTAAGCGAGGCAGGAAAGAAAGGAATGTGGGCATATAGCTCAATGGTGGAATGCTTGCCTAGCCTGAGTAAGACCCTGGGTTCGATCCCTATTCCCCACAAAATAAGTAATTAGCAAAAAAGTAAATGGGAGGCTAGATGGCCTATTTTCTCTTTCCTATAGATTTAATTTCACTTTTCATGCATAATGGTACTGGTTTTAAAAGAAAAGACCAAAAGAGATGTCAGAAAATTATATCTAAAATATCAAATTGGTATTCTAATATTTATAAATGGCTATATTAGTAGCATTTTCTTGAAGGTATCTTTTATACTGAATTGCACATAAACAGTCATAAATCTGAAATGCAGAAAGGACATCGCAATTCTGGGGTGCAGGCACATTACTGAGTAGTTTCTCTGTCCCGTGTTCTCACTTTATCCAGACACCTACTTATAAAGGTCCCACTACTCCAGAGAAACTGAGTTAGGGAGCAGTGAAGAACTTTGTCTAAAGCTAATAGCAGGGATACTAATGCATAGGATGGCTTGAACTGGGTCTCTTAAGACCAAAGAATAATTTCTAAATATTCCATCTAGAGTCTAATATCAACAACTTGGAATGTCAGAGCTGAAGACCTCTGATTACACAAACTGAATAGACAATGTAAGAAACTTGCAGCACACTGTTATTTCTCTGATGACAAGGTACTATTTTCTTTAAAAAGCATGTCTACTTTAGGTTAAACACAGTACATATGGGAATAAGGGTAAAGTTATATATATCCCATGAGATGATGCATGTATGTTATTTGTCTTTTTTCTTTTTGGTTTCTCTGTGTAACAGGTCCCAGCTTTGTAGATCAGTCTAGCCTCAAAGTCACAGAGATCTACCTGCCTCTGCCTCATGAATGTTGGGATTAAATAAATGTGCGTGCCGCCACATCTAGCTATAATATGCTATTTTTCTAAGGCTATTGTCTAACATAGAAGTTGCATTATATCCCTGTGCTAAGTATCCTAATATAGATACTAATAAGGAAAATTCAAATTACTAGAGTGGCATAGATTTTATGTTTAGATTTACAAAATATAAAATGTCTTTAAATATCAAATTAATAGTTTCATTAATGAAAACAAGCCAGTTAACCTTATTAAAAAAAAAAAAAAACCAGAAGTTAAACAGCATTTAAGAATGGTTCTAACTTCCTTTTAGCCTGTGATGAGCTAGTCTATCACTTCTTACTGTACTCAGTGAAAGGCAGTGTTATGTGATCTATGTATTTTAGGTAGGCCTGGCAGCAAATGCTGTAATCCCAGCACTTGAAAGGCTAAAGCAGGTGGATGAGTTTGACGCCAGCTTGGAATGTACTATATAGTAAAATGCTGTCTCAAAAACCAAAATCAGTACATCTATATATACAGTCCTATACTTCAGGAGGCTAAACTGACTACACCTTTAAAACCAAGGCAATTTAAGAAATTAGGGCAGGTTGTAGTCCAGTGGTAAAGTGCCTGGCTAAACTAAACTGCATGATACTCTGAGAACAATACCCAGTGACAGAACAAACAAAGGCAGAGAAGGGAAGGGAGGGAGAGAGGGAGGGAGGGAGGAGAAAGAGAAAATGTATATAGATCTTTGTAGGTAACAATGACTGACATTGCCAAAGTGATCTTTATGAAAAACAGCATCTTCTCTTTAACCTGGTTTCCCTCACCCTTCTATAACTAGCAGCAGAGGGCATTATTCTTTAAGTAATCCATATTTCTGCTAAAATTTCAATTTCCTCAAAAATGTAAGATCACTTGAGACTTCAAATGACAATATGCGGACCAAAATTACAGTTGACTTACTGACTCTATTTGTACATTTTACATGGCTTATCACATTTGCTTTCTTTTCTTTTGTTCAGAGACTATTTTTATTATAACATTTATTAATTATATATTTTAAGATTCACTCTCCTGCTTTCATACAGGCATGAATCATATTCATCCACCTTCCTACTCACTCTTACTTCCCACTGCCCTATTTCATCTACATCTAATAATCCTATAATAGAACACTGACCTTACTTCAGGAGAAATGACACGAACGCAGTACAAACAGGACTCACGCTGTAAGCTCAGGTCCTAGCCACCTATAATACCGTGTCCTGCTGGGCAGCATGTGCATCACCTAGTCTCAGTGCATGCTACCCTGAGAAACCCAATTCCTATTCCAAAACTTCTAAACAACTTAAGTTTTAATTTTGTAAATGATTTGCTTTCAGGTAGCCATATCTGGATATAATATAGAGAACATAAAATAATTTAAATAAGATGTCGTTGGGGCAGATTCTATAACAATTTGCTGTACTAGGACATTCCAGAGTCCTTAGCAACAAGAACAAAATGTACAATGTTGTGGCAACAACAACAACAAAAGAGATTTGTGAGAGGCAGTGTGTGTGTGTGTTTGTGTGTGTGTGTGTGTGTGTGTGTGTGTGTGTGTGTATTAAAGGCATAAAGCATAAACTTCACAATCAGCTCACCTACAAACAAGCATACAGGTTCTGTCAAAAGAAGTTTGACTTATAGCAGAAAAAAATTATTTAACAAAAGTGAAGGTTTCTATTGACTTAGTTGGTAAAATACATTATATATATATAAATTAATTCAATTGGGTACATAAAATACTGAAAAGCTTTTAAATTGTACTTGAGTTCATGAATTATGAAATAATTTAAAAAGAATGAATGCAGTGTAAGCCCTACATTTTCTTTTTTTTTTCTTTTCTTTTTTTTTTTTTAGGTCCTGAGAGAACAAAGCTTTAGTGTTTTTTGTTTGTTTGTTTGTTTGTTTTATTTTATATAACCAAGTCCATTTAAATGAAAAGAAACATTTATAGACAATATTTGGGAATTTGGGCGTCATTCTTTCCAAACTACTTCCTGCTGGTAAGGGGTGCTATCATGGGGGATTCTAAGAAGATGCAGAAATCAAAGCCCTACATTTTCATCAGGATCTAGGTTACAATAAATAAGGAATGGCCCAGTACCTATTATCTAGGCTAATGCATACTTTGGGGTTTCCAAACCAGCATAGTGGAAGAACTGGGCATAAGCACAAGGGTGCACAGAAACCCCACTGTCCCCATGGGAAAGATGGCCCTGTGTCAGAGGCTGGCCCTCTGGCTGTAGAGAATATACTGAGTTAGCTTTGGTGTTGCTACCATAGGAAGGAAGCCTTGTGTCAGAGGCTGGCCTTCTGGTTGTACAGAAGACTGTGTGTGGTGACAACAGAAATCAGGTGTTGTAAGAAACCAGTTAATCTTTTCAGGATACTGAGTTTCTCCCTTCTCCCACATAACCCAAATGTCTATACATCAACTGTTCCCATCTTCAACTGAGACTACTCCCAAGCTCTGTCTAGAGATCAGTGGTTCTCAGCCTTCCTGATGATGTGACCTTTAATTCTGTTCCTCATGTTGTAGTAACTACAACCATAAAATTGTTTCATTTCATTGTTAATTAACTGTAATTTTGCTGTTATGAATTGTAGTGTAGATATGCGATATGCATCATATTTGATATTCGACCCCTGTTTAAGTGTCATTTGACCCTCCCCCACCACAGTCGTGATTCTATATCCACCTTGATGGAACTAGATGCCATCTTCTAGCTACACACATCTCACACAGAGCAGTCAAGCACAAGAGAACTCACTGTTAAAGACCCTATGTTTGTTTGCAACTATCTCCTCAACTCTGGGTCAATACTATTTACCCTTTAATGTTGACATTTAAAACTCAGGTGCTCCCAGTATGTGTGATCAACTAGGCTTGACACCCAGTAGAACAAAAACAAGAGCAACATCGTCCCCACATAGAATTCTTCTATCTGGGCCACCTGTAGATCCCTTACCCATTCTAGAACCCCTCATCATGGCCACTGGTGAAGGGTCACTGCAGCACCCTTTCCCCTGGACTGTGAAGAAGTTTCCTAAGTAGCTAACAGAATGCCCCTTCCATTAGGTCACAGGAGCTGCTTAAAATCCTCTAGCAATTTCTCCAGTGACATTTACGAATAAAATCTGAGCCCTTACTGCATTTGAGTGACCTCTTCCGGTTCTTCCTCTTTCCAGGCCTGGTGTTATACTTGCTCCTTGGAAAATGCCCGGCACTTTCTCACAAATTAGG